ATGGGCGGGCTGAGCAACTTGGGAGGGGGTATTCGCGGCGGTCTCGCTGTAGTTTGCGATCTGCGCAGGCTCGCGTACCGCGTATCATCTTCAAACTATCTGATCAGCTCGTGGTCGAGACGCATACGTGGAAGTTAGCAATGGTGGCGCTGCTTTGTATCCTAGATTATGTTTTGACGATTTAACGTTCGTGTTTGCATCATCGAGGAGGAACGCTGTTGTATTATTTGATGGTGGCACTTACTGTTCTGCTTGCGGTATGCCCATGGTGCATCAGCGTTGCTGGTACAGTGGGGACCCATGTCAAGAAACACCCTGCTTGCCTCCAGGGTGCGCTGGGTTTCTTGGGTTTCGAGGGTTTTGCCATGGAAAGCGCGACGTTCCCGCGCCAGGAATCAGTGGACGTCCTGGGGTCTCAGGGTTGGGTGTCTTGTGGAAGGTTTCTTATGGTCGAGCCTCTTCTGTCTTGAAGTGTATACTGTTTCGGTGTGGGTGGGGTGGCGCATCGTGGCATTCAACACCGCCAACGCACCATGGCTCTGTTTCTGTTGGTGGTGGCGCTTGGCCGCCTCGAGCGTGGTGCCAACCGGGTGCAGCGCCCCGCTTCGAGGGGCACACCAGCGAAACAGAGAGAGCGGGCACCAGTCAAACCGAAGCTGGGGTCAGCCTGCGCAGACCCCCCCAAAATGGCTACAGTCATCCCGCATGGCAAGGATGTGCAACATTCCCACGGGTACTCTTGCATCCTTGCCTCCTCGGTCCATCCTTGGCCACTTTCGTTGGCCGCGTCCCGTTCGAAAAGCTTCGGGATGGGCTTCCAAGGCTCTTGCATCCTTATCGCGCATCCTTATGATACGGGCCGGCTGTACTCTGGGTGCCTCTCGGCGCTTTTGGGGGTCCTCTTGGAGCCCTCTCGGTGCTCTCTTTTCGAAGCAGACTTTGGCCAGATGCACACCCAGGAAACTCCGAAAATGCAGCCGACGTCGAGAATTAATTCATCCCGGCTCGCACGTCCGTTGGCGAGCCTGGCGAGTCTCTTGTCTGCAATGCTGGCACCATGGTGGCGTTTCGGCCCGACTTGGTGCAGTAGAGAACGGAGTCGGGATGTAGATCAGAAGAGGAAAGGACATCGATACTGCTACCCTTGCCTCGTTTTCGCCCTTCTGGGCCTCCTGGGAGGCCCTCGTCGCCACCGCTGCATTCGCCTGAATTCTGGGCAGAGCGCACCCTGGGAGAGGTCCAGGGATCAGCGGTATCGGTTCCTTCTGGTTTGCCCCAGGAGGCCCAGCGGTGTGCGATTCGAATGAAGAGCAAGCGCGTGCTCCGTGAGGGTTATACCTTGATTTGCCTCCTAATTGTCTTAGCTGCCCCCGGTTTTTCCCTACCTAGGCTCTGCCTAGAAGGGTTCTTACCCTGTATGCTTAAAGGGCCGGGCAGTGCTCCCCGCCCCGGGCGGTTCCCCCAGGATCCGCCCCGCGGTTCCCTCAGTGACGTTCCCTTAGCTTAGCGTTGCTGATCTCATCTTAGCTTAGCTTAGCTTAGCTTGGCTTAGCTTAGCTTAGCCTAGCTTAGCTTAACTTAGCTTAGCTTAACTTAACTTCGCTTCGCTTCTCTTAGCTTAGCTTATCTCATCTTAGCTTAACTTAGCTTAGCTTAGCTTACCTTAGCTAATATTAGCTTAAATCATCTTGGCTTAGCTTATATCATCTTAGCTTAGCTTATCTTAGCTTATTTTAGCCTAGCCTAGCCTAGCTCATCTTAGCCTAGCTTAGCTTAGCTCAGCTTAGCACACCTGTCCTTACCTGAGCTTGCCTTAACTTAACTTAGCTCAACTTATCTTAGCTTAATTTTGCTTACCTCATCTTAGCTTAGCTTCGCTTAGCTTAGCTTAGCTTAGCTTACCTTAGCCTAGCTTAGCTTAGCTTAGTTTAGCTTAGCTTAGCTTTGCTTAGCTTAGCTTACCTTAGCTTAGCTTAGCTTAGCTTAGCTTAGCTGAGCTTATCTCATCTTAGCTTACCTTAGCTTAGCTTAGCGTAGCTTAGCCTAGCTTAGCTTAGCATAGCTTAGCTTAGCTTAGCGTAGCTTAGCTTAGCTTATCCCATGTAAGCTTAGCTTAGCTTATCTTAACTTGGCTATACTAGCTTCGCTTCGCTTCGCTTCTCTTAGCTTAGCTTAGCTTAGCTTAGCTTAGCTTATGCTGCTTTCCTAGGGGCTCCAATTCCTAGGTAGGGTCGCACTGATATGTTTTTATTTTGTTTACGGGGGTCGGCCGGTATCTTCGACGCGCTTTGACTTCACGGCAGGCTACTTGATCGGGAATCGGGGCGCCTTCCTTTCACAAAGGACAGAACGAAGAAAGCCAGGCAGCTGTCAACCAGGGATGTTCGCAGCACTGCGCCCCAAATGGGCACCGACAGATCCGTGAGCACAAATATATGGCACGATGGAGATCGAGCCACGTGTATCTGCTTGGTTGGAGCGGCCGGTTCAGCGTCGAGTCGGCCGAGCGCACGAAGTCCACCTCACAATGTTTTTTTTACAAAGGGGTAGGCGCACTGTATCTTCGAAAGCGGAATCGGTGATGATGATGCTGATGATGATGATGATGATGATGATGATGATGATGATGATGGTGGCGCCACGAGCTCGGGCAGACGGATCTGAGCCTCGCTTGGGCCGTCTCCGTGAGCTCTATCCAGCCGCGCCAATGTCCGTCCCGTCCGCTTCATACTTCTGGCGGCGAGCAATTCCGTACTTGAGAAGCATGCGTGTCCAGCTTGTGTTCGAGCAGCAACAAGCCTTCCGCAGCCTTCCGGGCCGTTCCTGCTGTCGAGCGCGTCCATCTACCGCACTGCGCTGCCCCATTCACAGCGTACGGGGCCGGCGTACAGGGCCGGCGCGGTATGTCTTCGGCGCTACGTCAGTCCGTCCAACCACATCTGCTTATTGAGGGTGGGAGGGCGTGGCGTGCAGCATGAGGCCTACGCGCGGTGCCCGTGGCGGCCGGCGCTGGCGCTGGTAGCTGCACGCGGCTGTACGCAACGGCTGTGCTCGTGCTGCTGCAGCTGCTGCAGGGCCTCATCTGGATCGTCTTCTCGTCGTTGCCTGACACCGCCAAGGCGCTCTTCCTGGGGCTTGCTGACAGTGACCTGACCTGGCAAGTCAACATGAGCAACATCACGCAATTCGCCGTGACGCTGCTGGCCGCGTGGGCGCTCATGCAGTCGCGTGGGCTGCGCAAGGCCACGCGGGCCGCGGCCACGGCGCTGGCAGTGCAGTCGGCGCTGTGGGCGGTGTGCGCACTGGCGCCCGCCAGCGCGCGCGGCTCGGGCGGCGTCCGTGCGCTGCTGCTGCTTGGCGCGGCGGCGGGCGGCGCCAGCTCCGCCTTCACCCAGGGCGCCTGCTCGCGGTTCTCGGCGTTGTGGTACGAGCCGCGCCGCCGTGGCCTGGTGACCCGTGTGGCTGTCAGCGCCAACTTCCTCGGCCAGAGCGCGGCCTTCCTGCTGTGTGCGGCGCCGACTTCGACGGCGCAGCACGTGCCCGCGGCGGATGTGACGGTGGCGGTGCTGCTCGCGCGCTTGCGTACTTGCCAGACGGCGTGGCCCAGGTGGCTAGGGCTGCCAGGTCCAGCGCAGCGGCAGCAGCGGCAGGTATTGACGCCGAGTCTGCCGCTGGCGGCGACGGCAGCTCTGCTGGCTGCGCGCCTTTGAATGTTGATGTTGATCATGGCACGCCTTGGATGCGCTCTCTGGCGGCCTTTCTGCGCGACCTGCGGCGCGTCGTCTCCAGCCGCTCGACGGCCGCCACCGCGGCCGTGGGCGCCATCTTGACTGGCCGCGTTTCCCAATTGGCAGGCGGCGCTGCCGCTCCTGGCCACGCGGGCGGGGCGCGACCGGCACGGGGACCGGCACGCCTCCGCCAGCGGCGTCGGGCATCGGGCTTGGCGGCTGCGTGGCTGGCGTGGTGGCGGACAGGCTCTTCCTGCGGCGCTGGAAGCAGCTGCTGTGCGCTGCGCTGCTGGCCCGCGCCGCGCCGTTGGCGTGCTCTGGCCGTCGGAGCGGCAGGGCCGCGCACGTCCGACAGCCGAGGGCAGGAGCTGGTGGCGGTGGTGCTGGCTGGCGCTTTCGCCGGCGTCGGGCTGCCCGTTGCGCTGCGATGGATGCCCGCTGGCGGAGGGCGCGCTCCCCGTGGACGAGGGCACGACTGGCGGCGGCGTCGTGCTGGTGGCTCAGGTGTCGGCCGCGCTGCTCTCCGCGCTCGTGCCCGCGCTGCCTCCGCCGGCGCCGCACCTGATGATGCTGCTGAGCGTGGCTGATTGCGCACTCATGTGGCAGTGTACGGACCGCAGTGGCGGATTGGTTGAAGTCTGGCATCTGAAACAATCTTGATGGCCTCGGGCGCAGCGTCATTTGCATCGACCTGCCACCGAACCCCTCACGCAGAGTGCGCAGCCATCTAGGAGACAGGTTACGTTTCACGCTGGCCGATGGCCTTCTCCAGATCCGCTTGACGTACGTACACCCGCACGGAGCTCCGCTGCTGCTGCGGGAAAGCACCGCAGATTGCGCGGCGAAAGGCCTCGCCAGCGCGCCCGCGACGAGGCTTTCGGCAGCAGCTGCTGCTGAAGATTATGGCCTTCTGGTCGCGTTGGACGCCCATCACGGTCGCGGTGAAGCGAGAGGAACATGAGCCTTTGACGGGAACGGGCTTCCAAGAAGGGTCGCGTTTTGCAGCCACAGGGTTCTCATGATGCGTGGCCTAGGACATCCAACAACAGGGTCGCTCTGCTCCCTTTGCTCTCTCAGGTGCGAATGTTCTCGTCAGTCCTGTGGTGGTTCGAGTTGACGTTGGCCAGGAAGACGAAACAACCATCCTGGAGGAATATGTGGAGGTGGAGATGGATATTGAAGTCGAGGAGGATGAGGAGTGGGGAGGGTGAAGAGGAATGGTAGAATAATGAGGCTTTCCTGGGATCCCACCGCGCAGACATTCTTCACCTGAGGTCGCATCAGCTACAGCTTAAGACACTTGGGGTGTTCATACTCCGCCGCCGCCCCCTCCTCCGCCTTCTCCTCCTGATCGACCCAGTTCGCCCACATGCATCTGTCCAGAGATCGACACGCCCCCGCTGGTTCCGCTTCGAGTTTCGCAGGCCTCTTTTGCTGTTGGGAGGGCCGCCACTTCCCACTCGACCTCCCCTGAGACTTCAGTCAAGTCGCATAGTAACGATGAGCGACTTTCCAAGTCTACCCTTGCATTCTTCCCCTTCTGCGCATCCTTGGCCACTTTCGCTGGCCGCGCCCCCCTCGAGCGGTGTCGACATGGACCTCCAAGGCCCTTGCAGCCCCATCGTGCGTCCTTATTGTACTCCTCGATTGTACCTCTCCCCCCCCGCACTGCGCGCACATGACGATCCCGCGCTGCGCAGGAGCTGACTTAACGCGGCATCCAGCGGCAGCTGCTCCCTGCTCCTTTTTTCTTCCCTCCTCCGTTTCCCCTCGTTCTTTGCCCCCCTTTTGATTGCTAACCACGCTGTGGTGTTGGGCCCTCGTTTTGATGAGACAGCGCTCCGCGCTCCTCCCTCACTCCTCTTCCTCCTCCTCTTCCTCCTCCTTCTTCTTACTTATGCTGGCCACGTGCATGGTAAGGCAGCATAATTCAGCATAATCCTTCTGACGTATGCTCTCCGCGTCAGCCTATCATTTCGGCACACCCCTCAAACGTTTCGTGTTCCCATGTGGGGCTCCACTGAGGGCCCCAGTGGGAGGGTTCACACGGGCCTTCCCCACCCAGTACACCGCTTCGTGGCCCCATAGGGAGCTCCACCGAAGGTTCCAGTGGCAGGCTCCACATGCGTCTCCCCGCCCCGTTTCTGTGCACCCCTCGCACGTTCCGTGGCCTCATAGGGGCAGGCCACGGACGGCTCCCGCGGGAGGGTCCACGTGCGTCTCCCGTCCCAAGTCGGCACGCCCCTCGCACGTTGTGTGCCCCTTTATGGGGGGCTCCACCGAAGGCAACCCTGTGGGGGCCCTTCGCGCCTCCCCGCCCCATGTCGGCACACCCGCTGCACGCCTCGCTGCCCCATGGTGAGATCCACCGATGGCCCCAGTGAGAGGGTCTACATGTGCCTCCCCTGTGCCATTCCCCCCCCCCCCCCCCTCCACCCACGTTTTGTGCCCCCGTACGTACGAGGGGGCTCCACCGAAGACTCCAGTGGGAGGGCCAACACGCTGACAGCCATGCCGATGATGCTGATGAGGATGATGATGCTGATGATGACGATGATGCTGATGCTACTGCTCATGATGATGATGATGATGATGATGATGATGATGATGATGATGATGATGATGCTGATGATGATGATGATGATGATGATGATGATGATGATGATGATGATGATGATAATGCTGATGATGATGCTGCTGCTGATGATGATGATAATGATGATGCTGACGATGATGATGATGATGCTGATGATGATGATGACGATGCGGATGATGATGGTGCTGACGATGATAATTACTGATAATGCTGCGGATGATGATGCTGATGCCGAACATGCTGGTGACGATGTCGCTGACGATGCTGATGCGGATGCTGCTGATGCTAATGCCGATGCTGCTGATGACGATGCTGATGGTGATGATGATGATGATGATGATGCTGATGATGATGATGATGATAATGATGATGCTGATGTTGGATGACCGTGGTTGTGATGATGCCGATGCTGATGATGATGCTGCTGCTGATGAAGATGCGGGTGATAATTATTATAATGATGATGATGACGACGACGATGATTCGGATGATGATGCTGATGATGATGCTGCTGATGGTTATGACGATGATGATGATGATGATGATGATGATGATGATCATGATGATGCTGATGATGGTGATGATGATGATGACGATGATGATGATGATGTGGATGATGATGCTGATGCTGATGATGATGCTGCTGACGATGATGCTGCTGATGATGCTGCTGATGCTGAGGACGATGATGAGGTTGTTGATGCTGATGATGATGCTGCTGCTGATGCTGACGATGATGCTGATGCTGATGCTGATGCTGCTGATGATGATGGGGATGATGATGACGATGCTGATGATGACGATGTTTACGTTGATGCTGCTAGTGCTGATGATGTTGCGGCTTCTGCTTGTGCTGCTGATGATGATGATGCTGCTGATGACGATGATGATGATGCTGATACTGATGATGATGATGCTGTTGATGCTGATTATGTCGATGACGCTGGTGATGCTGATGATGCTGATGATTATGTCAATCATGATGATGCTGATGATGATGATGATGATGATGCTGATGATGATGATGATGATGATGATGATGATGATGATGATTACGATTGTATTAATCATGCTGCTGCTGCTGCTGATGATGATGATGATGATGCTGATGATGATGATGATGATGATGATGATGATGATGATGATGATGATGATGATGATGATGATGATGATGATGATGACGACCACGACGTGTGTAATGGTCGTGATGGTAGTGACTATGCTGTTGACTGTGGTGGCGATAGTGGTGATTTTCGTTTTGTGATGCTGGCGACGACAATGCTGAGGATGAGGAGGTGGAAGTGGCTGGAACCCCGATGGTACGATGACGGGGAGGAGGGAGAGGAGGAGGAGGATCCGGAGGAGGAGGAGGAGGAGGATCCGGAGGAAGAGGAGGAGGAGGAGGAGGAGGAGGAGGAGGAGGAGGAGGACGAGGAGGAGGAGGCGGAGGAGGAGGAGGAGGCTGTGGCCGCCCCGCGCGGGGGAGCCCTCCAGGCCGCCCCCCCTCCCCCCCCCCCCGCGTGCTGCATCGGCGCCGCCCACGCCCGGCTCGGCGGCGCCCCCCCCCCCCTCGCGAGCCTCGCAGGAGATGGCCAAGGCCGTGACGTTTGTGCGCAAGGTGTGGCTCGGGCGGCAGGCCGCCCGCGGGGGGCGGGGGGGGCCTCGGCGGCCCGAGGGCGGGCGGGGGGCGCGCGGGGCCGCCGCCGCTGCCGGCCAATTCGATGCGACCGAACTTCGATGCTCGAGCAGTGGCGAAGCGTCCTGGCTCGCCTGTAGCCCTACCAAACCATGTTCTAAGAGAAGATTGCGGTTTCCACGAGCTGTTCTTAGAGCATTTCTGGCGGAGACTGTCTTGTTTTATATCACATTGGGCTTATGCTCCAAGAACACTGTGTTTGTTCTTAGAACATTTTTGGGTTCTCAGAACATTTCGTGGTAGGACTCTAGAAATGCCGGACGGTCGGTCCTTGCTCAAGATACTGCCTGCGAGATCGAGCTCCCGATGGCCGAAGCGCTAGAAACGCTGGGGGAGCGGGGGCGTTGGAGCGGGCAAGGGGCGGGGCAAGCCGGCGGGAGTCAGGGAGGGAGGTGGAGGTGAAGGTGGTGGTGGTGGTGGTTGCGGTGGTGATTGTGGAGTTGGTGGTGCTGGAAAGGATGAAGTTGGTGGTGATGAGGATGCTGATGGTTGTGGTGATGATCGTGATGATGCTGATGCTGCCGACTATGATGATTATAACGGTGGTGGCGGTGATGCCGATGCATCAGTGGCAATGCTGGTGGTGCTGCCGACCATGGTGATGTTGGCGGTGATGACGATACGGATTAAGTCTATTGTATTGCGAAGGCCTTACGGCCGGTGCCGCCGACCCTGAACGGGGGACGACGGCGGCGGCGACGCGACGACAACGCTGACGTGGGTCAGAGTCCTCAGGGATGCTTCTGGCGGACGGTCTCTTCGGAGCGTTCTCGGGAGCTTCGGGGAAGCAGTTTTGGGGCCTCTTGGGGGCCTTTGGGAGCTTCTTGGGGACCTCTTGGGGCTTTCTGGGAGCATCTTGGGGGCCTCTTGGGGGCTTTTCGGAGCCTCCTGGGAGCCTCTCGGAGCCGAGGGCTCGAAGTGTCCGTTCGGGTCCCTCGTTTGGACACATGTTGGGAGCAATCTTAGGAGCTTGGGGTGTCTGGGAGGCGTCTTGGGCCGTCTTGGAGCCCCCTTGTGCCGTTTAGGGCCTCTTGGAGGCTTCTTGGGCCATCTTGGGGCGATCTTGTGAGCCTCTAAAGCTTTCTTGGAGCGTCGAGAAGCGGAAAAGGCAAGAACGCTAGAATCATTCAAAAGTCAACGGAAAATCTGTTGATTTCGCCTCTTGGGGCCCTCTGGGGACTGCTCTTGGAGGCTTCTTGGGGCGTCTTGGAGGCCCTTGGGCAGTCTGGAGGCCATCTTGGGTGCCTTGGATCGATCGTTCGGCGATTCGGCTGTCTTGAACTGTCTTGGGGGCTCCTTGTGGCACTCTTGGACCGTCTTGGGGTTCTTTTGGAGCCGAGAACCCCCGGTGAGAATGGTATTCTGACCCGGGACCCCCTTCCGGGACCCCCCCCCCCCCCCGGCGGGGAAGGGATCAAAGGGAAGAGGCTTCCCTTCGACTCAACTGCGGCGTTGCTGAATTTCGCTGTGGCTGAGTTGCTTGACGAGTAAGGCGCGATGAAATGGGGGGAGAGGCGACGGGCGCAGGGAACGGGGAGGGGCTGCGGCGACGAGGACGACGACGACGACGAGGAGCGGCGGCGACGAGGACGACGACGACGACGACGATGACGAGGAGGACGACGACGACGACGACGACGACGACGACGACGACGACGACGACGACGACACGACCACGACGACGACGACGAGTCAAACGGAACAGCGCATTCCACACGCCGAGAGGGTCGGCGGACACACATAATTACCCAGCTGCCTCCGGCAAGTCCGCCACCGTGCCAGCGCAGCATTCTTGGTGGCAGCTTCTCGAGAAGGCAAAGGGGGACTGCTGCGGGCCTTTTGGGGCAGAAAGCTTGAATTCTTGGTTCGTGTTCCCACTCTTGGGCCCTTCTTGGGGCCTGTTGGGAGCCCTCTTGGGCAGTGTAGGGCACCTCTTGGACTGTCTTGGAGCCCTCTTGGGCCGTTTTAGAACTCTTCCGGGAGCCTCTTGAGCCGTCTCGGGAGAGTATTGGGGTAGGGGACTCGTGGGCCGTCTTGGAACGTCGGAACTCGAAGGCGAGAACCACAAAAACATTGAAAACGCAACGACACGACACTTGTTTTCCCCTCTCGGGGCCCTCTGCCTCTTTTTTTTTTCCTGATTCTTGGGTGCCCGTGGGGCCGTCTTGGAGCCCTTCTGGGCTGTCTTGGGACGCCGGAAGCTCGAAAAGTCGAGAACCCGTTCTTGGACACATTTAGGGTAATCATTGGTTTTTGCCTCTCGGAGCCTTCTCGGGGCCTCGCGGGCCGTTTTGAAGCCATCTTTGGCCGTCTTGAAGCCAACGTGGCCAGTCTTGGAGCGACATTGGGCCGTCTTGGAGGCATCTGGGCTTCAGGAGCGCGAGCCCGTCATATTTTGCGAGTGATAGTCACTGATTGTGGCCTCGGGAGAATGGGAGTGGTGCATGCCCTTGTGCGTGACCAGAGGAGGTGGGGGGGCTTGGAACATTACGGAAACCCTACCAGACAGTCCTTTGCATTCTAGCACACCCCAACGTGCCAGGAGGCACGGTGAAAGATATGTACATGCAGGATACCATGTTGTGGGGGAGACGAGGAACATGATTAGGGTGATAAAGATGATGGTCATATTGGTGACTGTGATGTTGGTGTTGGTGGTGGATGATGATGATGCTGATGATGATGATGGTGACGGCGGTGATGCTGGTGATGATGCAATTCATGTTGACGATGCTGATTGTGGTGAGGATGGCAATGGTGATGATGACGATGACGAGGACGAGGGTTATGATAGTGATGATGGTGGTGGTGATGATGGTGATGCTGGTAATGCTGTTGAAGATGGTGATGATGATGGCGATGACGATGACGATGATGATGATGATGATGATGATGATGATGATGATGACGATGCTGACGATGCTGATGATGATGATGATGATGATGATGATGCTGATGATGATGCTGATGATGATGATGATGATGATGATGATGATGATGATGAGGGGGAGGAGGAGGAAGAGGAGGAGGAGGAGGAGCAGGAAGAGGAGGAGGAGGACAACAAAGAGGAGAGGAGGAACGCGACCAATCGAACCATCAATACGCCAACAGTTTCGCGAAGAGGCGAACCGGTGCACATAACGGTGACCCGCGGCGCATCCGCCAGACGCGTAGCGGCAAACACATCGAGTTCGAACTGGGCAGATCAGCGCCGCGCATGGCGGAGGCGAGCTGCGCGGTGCGAGCACACGGAGGCCAACACGCACCCCCGCGAGGCGAGTCGGCGCAAATCGGCTGTCAGGCCGTGCAGCACGGGGCGAAGCGGCGCCGACTGCAGCGTCCTCTTCCCGCCTTTTCGATTCGGAGGTGGATAGACCTCCTGCCCTGACACGTCGATTCGCGAATTGGCCGTCCTCGGCTCGCGAGAGGGCGTCGCGGCCGTCATCTCTGCGGGTCCAGGTCTGTCGGTTTCGGTCCTAGGCCGTTTTCGTTAAGGGGAGGTTTACTAAAGGGAGGTTTGTCCACCGCCGATCTATCTTCATCCTCCCTCACGCCCTCGCCCTCCCCCGTCCTGCTTCCTCACAACAATAACTCTTCCCTGTCGCACCTCGGGACGTGCCGGTGGGGCGGGGTTGTGCCCGAGCCTTTCGTCACCATGCATGATCCTGAAGATTGAGCTCTGCATCCGTTGCACGGACGGGGTCTGGTGGTGTTTCAAGTGTGGCTCTCGTCTTCAATCCGCGCACACTCGCCTTGAGAGCTTGCAGCGGTTTCAAGGGTGCAGGGGGCGGTTTCTCTCCAAACTGTGGCTCTCGCCTTAGCTCCGCGCGCAATCGCTTTTAAAGTGCGGAGCACTGTGAAGGGCTCGTATAATTGAAGTCCCACGACTTGCGTTCATGGGCGATTTAGGAATGTCAGGACGCAACCGTCAAGTTGATTCGCTGCGCCGAATTCCTAGGACACGGCATTTTGGTACGGTTCAAGATTCTCAGACGTTTGTCGTCCAATCGGTCACTTCCCGCAAACGAAGCAAGCGTTTGTAGGGACCTTTGAAGAGAGGGAACTTCGAATGATGGTTTATTGCAATATCGTTGATGCGTCTTGGGTTTACACTGGTCCTCCTTCTCCTCCTTCTCGGTCGGTCGGTCGGCCGATCGGCAATGAGTTCGAAGCCTAACCAGAGAGTGTGACGAGAGCAAGAGGTACATGCACACGCACACACCAGAAGCAGAGGCATACATCGTCCCGCCCACCAGTGCCCGAAGGCGTGGCCGAGGGCCAAAGCAGAAGGGCAGTTCTCCTTCTCCTGCTCCTCCTCTTCCTCCTCGTGCTCCCCTCCCCCCTCCTCTTCGGCACAGCCTGAGCGCAAACGGCACATCTGCGCCGCTGCACAGCTGTGGGTGGCGCTGCCCTTTGATCCTCCCCCCCACAGGAGGCCAGGCGGCTGAAGAATGCAAGGGCAAATGTTGCCGGTCAGCAGAAGATGCAGGAGAGCGCGGGTGACGACGGGGCGCTGGTGGAGGCGATCCGTCAGTCCGAGGCTGTGACGGCTGAGGGCGTCGTTCTCGAATGCGAGCCGTTTGTGGAGTGCGCCATGGCGGTCAACGAGGTTTCCGGGGAGGCCTTCGAGGTGTGTGTGTGTGTGTGAATGCGATTTCCGTGAACAAGCAGCTGGATGGCGCCCAGCTGAACATGTTGAGGGCGATCGATGGCGAGTTGGAGGAGTAATTACGCCCAGCTTGGCATGGTCGCCGAGTGCGCGGTGGGTCAGGGAAAGCATGTGGAAATGGCCTCGAGGCTCGAGACCTCGGCATGCTGGTGCGGAGAATGAGCTTCTCGCTGGGTGGAGTGCGCCTCACCAACAGGGCCGTGTTGGACCGCGTCGGTCACGCCACCGACGCCACAGGGCTGGACCTAAACGCGGTTTTACTGGACTTCGGCTGTGCTTTGCTTTTTCGTTTTGGCAGGGAGGTACAGGAAAACAGGTCGAGCAAAACGAACAACACAACGACAACGAACGAACGACAACGTTCAGGTCCAGCCCTGCGACGCCACCCTCGATGGGGTGCATGGCTCGACGTGGTGTGCATTCGGGTGGAGGAATGGTCCGTGGCCGCCGTCGAGACGGCGGGGGGCCCGTCGAGCGTGCGCCGTGAAGCTCGCATCGGCGCGGGTGCATGGCAGGTCTGCTGCTTCGGTGCCGGACCTGGGGTGTCCTCGCGTCGTTGGGGGTAGCACGGCCCCTCGGGCATGGCCGAACGTATCCACGAGTATCCTCCTCCTCCTCTTTCATTCCTTCCCTTGTGAATAGCTTCTCCCTGTCGCACCCCGAGGCCAGTTTTTAGGGCGGGCCGGGCGTTTCGCCTCAGACTTCCTCACCATTGATGATCCTGAAGCTTAAACATTGGCAACAATTTCACAACATGGAGGGCGGGTAGTTTTCAAACTGTGGCTCTCGCCCTAGCGCCGCGCACATTCTTTTTAAAGAATTGCAAGAGTTTCAAGGATTGAGGGCGAATTGTCTTCAACATGTGGATCTCGCCTCAGCGCCGCGCACAGTCGTTTTAAATAGTTGCAAGAGTTTCACGGATTGAGGACGGCTCCTTTTCAACATGTGGCTTTCGCCTTAACGCCGCGCACATTCGCTTTAAACATTTGCAGGGGCTTCGCGGATTGAGGGCGGTTCCTTTTCAACATGTGGCTCTCGCCTTAGCGCCGCGCACACTCGTGTTAAACAGTTGCCAGGGTTTCACGGATTCCCATGATCAGCGTACCAGAAATTGCGTTTTGGAAGGATTCAGGCTTATGAGGGTGCACAAGTTCTGTTGAGTGGTGGTGTTCAAGTCCCAGGACTGGCGTTCTGGCACGATTCAAGATCGTCAAATTGCAACAGTCAGGTTGATCCGTGGCGTTGGAATCCCGAGAACAATGTCTTGGCATGCTTCAGGGTCTTCAAACAGTTGTCTTCCAACAGGGGCAGTTACCTCAGTACAAATGAACCGTCGTGGGGGCCTATGAAGAGGGAGCTTGGAGGGAGGGTGTATTCCAACATCGTCGATGCCTCTTGGGTTTACACTGGTCCTCCTCCTCCTCCTCCTCCTCCTCCTCCTCCTCCTCCTCCTCCTCCTCCTCCTCCTCCTCCTCCTCCTCCTCCTCCTCCTCCCCCTCCTCCTCCTCCCCCTCCTCCTCTCTCTCCCCCTCCAGGGCGCCCTGCCCGTTGCTGCGCCTCCCTCCCGACCCGCAGGCGAGGAGGCGCCTGCAGGCGGTCAAGGAGAGCTTCGAGGCGAACCCCGAGGACATCATCACGCTCCAGCGCTACCTGCGAGGCCCTACCCGGCCAGGGCATCGTTTCGATTCCTCCGATGGTCGGTTCGACTCCGGTGGCTTCCGATGCCGGTCCGGTCCGATTTCGGCTTCCGGATCTCTGGCTCCGATCTCGTGGTGGAGGCCCGCTGGGCTGCCGATTTTCCGCCGAGTCGACTCTTCCCGACTCGGCTGCCGTGTTCCGCCGATCCGATTCATGTCGATCGCCGATCCGAGTCATGTCGTCTCCTGCCCACCTGGCGCCCGCCGTTTCGGGCGACGTCGATTGATCGAGCAGGAGATCGGCTACAGAGTTGATTCACCCAACACTGTTATTTTTGGTGTAGCCTACCGAGAAAGAACCATAATGCTCTGTGTGTCTACGGAGCATTCTGCGTACCTTCTCGCAGATGCAGCCACAGTGTTTGCGCACATCACATTCTGTCGTCGATCTCCTGCTCGAGCTGACCACCTCACCGATCCTGGCCGGGCCAGTCGTAGGCCTGCAGGATCGGTGCACATGCGTTTGCCCGGCGTTGCCACGGGGGGGAGGGCGCGTGCACACCCCCGGCATCGGACCGGCCAGGATCGGCGAGCCGGCCTGTCGACGTCGCCCCAAGCCTTGTCCACTCGATGACGACGACGACGACGACGACAATGACGATAACGGCATCGTCATCGTCATCGTCATCGTCATCGTCATCGTCATCACTTCCTGTCCCGTCCCCTTTTCCTTCCCCTCCCCTCGTTCTTCCTTCCCCCTTCCTTCTCCCGGCCTTTGCGGAGGCCAGCGCGTTCCCCTCGCCTCCCCCTTGCCCCCTTCCCCCTTCCTCTCCGGGCCTTTCCCGGAGGCCAGCGCGTTTGACGCGCCTGCCGCCCTCGCAGGGCCGCCTCGCGGCGACGGCCGGCTTTCGTTCCTTCGTCCCCTCGTCCTGGCCTAGGTCGCCTTTTGGCGAGCGGGGGTCTGTCGCTCCGTGGGCCGCGTAGCGGCTGGGCCTCTGGCCTGTGCGCCTCTACTTAGGGGAACAAAGAGTGGCATAAACATGAAAACTCGGAGGTCCGCGCGGATTTCTCGGATCGGCGCTGGACCCCCCTCCCTGGCGCTCGGAGCGTGCCAGGGGCGGCCCCGGAGGCGCCGCCAGGGGGGTCCAGCGCCGATCCGAGAAATCCGCGCGGACCTCCGAGTTTCCATGTTCACGGCGACAAGGGGGACGGCGGGCCACGACGCGCACAGTGTGTTGGTCTCCTGGCATGTTTTTTTTTTTGTTCGTCGTGCTTGCCGCTTTGGCGTGCGCGTGCTGTCGACCTGTGGCACGGTGCCGCTCTGTTGCGTGTTTTGCGAGGGTGGGATGTGTTTTGCCATGCTGGAGCCAGCGGGGCGGCGGCCATATCGTGGGCCCGACTGGGCTCTCTCTGGCCATGCCGCTCCTCCTCATCCTCCTCCTGTGCCTGCGCTCCCTTTGTTTGGCCGTCTTCGCATGCTTCTCTCTCTCTCTCTCTCTCTCTCTTCATATCATCCCCATCCTCCTGCTGCTGCTTCGGATTCGTCTTTTTCTCCTTCTTCTTCCTCGCCCCCTCCTCCCACCCGCGCGAGGGGGCGATTGAGAGGCGCGTGGAATCGTGGGCAGTTGCTGATGGTGACGATGACGACGATGATGATGGTGGATGTGCCTATGATTACGATGCTAACCACGCTGAGAGTGACGCCGATGATGATAAGGTTGATGATGATGATTCTGCTGCTGATGATGACGGTAAGCAATCCCAGTATGACGACGAATCAGGTAAGGATGACGGTGATGTTGCCGATGTCGATGACGATGACGACGATGATAACGACGACGACGATGATGATGGTGATTTTTCGTCGACGTCAGGACCAAGCCGTTGAGCAACAGGTTTTAGAGAAAGAAGTGATCCGTCGCAGAGGGCTCGATTGTTCCCTAAAGAGCTCGCTAGGAGCCGTGCTTCACGGGGTGCTGAACACATGTGCGCGCGGTCAAGGGAAAACCGTAGACAGCTGGCGATGCCCGCGTTGCATGCTGAGCGTTGGGAGGATCGGAGGTGGGAGAAGCAACCGTGGCTCAGGGTCGCCGTGCAACCCCCTTTGTGATTATGATGCTGAGGAGGACGACGACGATGACGATGACGGCGTTGACGTTGACGGCGGCGACGATTTCGTTGTTGATGATGGTGGTGATGAGAATTGTGATTGTGATGGTGGTTGTGGTGGTAGTTGAAATTGTGGTGTTCGTGGGTGGTGATTATGCTGATCGCGATACGCATTCTTGTCATTCTCATGGTCATGGGGACGATGCTGATTAACCGTAAATGTATGAGTAGGAGTGTATGGTTAACGGTGTCGACGATCACGAGACTGATGGCATTGGTGATGCTGGTGCCGATGATGATGGCGCTGGTGGTGAGGAGGAGGAAGGGGAGGCGGAGGAGGAGGAGGCTGTGGAGCATGCTGGGGGAGCAGGGTTCCTGCTGCAAGTCGTTTCGCTCCAGAGGCTTCTGGCAGTCTGCCGACGCCCTGGGAGGACTCGTGCGGCCTCCGTGCTCGTGGTTGCCTCCGTGTTGCCTGCCGCCTCCCGTCGTGCTGCCTGCGGGCGGCTGCCGCCGAGTGGTCCCCTTCGCCCCCGCGCCTGCTGGGAGCTCTCCCCCGGGGGGGGCCTCTTGGAGGCCTCTGGGGCGGCCTCCCCCCGTCCGTTCTGCCCCCCTCGCATCTCGCTGGCCCCACCACCAGAGATCGGCCCATGTTCGGAATGTCAAGCAGTGGCGACGCGTCCTGGTGTGCGAATCGGCCTACCAAACATTGTTCTAAGAACCTTCTGTGATTTCCCACGAAATGTTCTTAGAATATTTCTGGCTGGGACTGTCTTGTGTTATCATATCGGGTTTATGTTCTAAGAACCTTGTTTTCTTCAAGCTTAGAACATTTTCGGGGTCTAAGAACATTCCGCGGTAGGACTATATGAGGGCCGGGACGGTCGGTCCCTGCTCAAGGAATGGCCCCCTCCTGCTGTGCCATACGGCAGCCGCAGGAGGGGGCCAATGGCAGCAGGGAGTACCCATCTACCGCCATGAGCAGCAGGGCGGCCTCGCTGGAGCCGTTGTAAAAGCTGCTGGTGGCGTCTGGGGGCCCTCTGGGGGGCTTCTTGCGGCCTCTTGGGGGGCATGTCGTGGGTCTTGGGAGCGGCCTTTGTGTGGGAGGGCTCCTGCTGCACCTGCGAGGTTTCCCCTCTTGGGCCTCTCTTGTCTCCCTTGAGCCCCTTCTGAGGGCTCACTGGGGCTTTCTTTTGGCCGTCCGGGGGTGCCTTCTGTTCCGTCTTGGGGCCCTTTTGGGGGCTTCTTGGGCCGTCATGGGCTGAGGGAGACCGCAAGCCACCTAACGCTTACAGAAACCCGCACGTACGAGAACGCGAACACACACATAGATGTGTGTATATACACGTATATACATGTCGACAGATGGGTATAAGCATACATACAATACATTTTTCTATATCTCTCTCTATATATATATATGTGAACACATCTATTGTACATGTATCTAGACGTCTGCGAATATACATGCACATTTACCAATGCATGCACACATGTATATGTATATGTGGATGTGCATATATTTGCCATGCGTACACATGCCGGTGTATATAGAAAGCGAGAGGGGAACAACCAAACGTCTCATTCATTTTTTCAGTCCCAGCACGTGGAGTTTGACGGATTGTTATTTGTTGCGTCGCAAAGGTAACTCAGCTGCCTAGCATCTCCAGGGTGGAGGGCTATCACTCCCTCCCACAGGCTGCATCGTGCGCGTGAGGCTGTGGCGAGAGGCGGTCCAGACAGAGGAGAAGCTGTGGGCGGCGATCGAGATCCAGCGCGCGTGGCGGGGTTACGCCGGCCGCAGGGGTCGCGGCAAAGCCATCAGCAGTCATCACTGAGAGCAGGTCCGGCCTCACCGAGCGCGTTCCACTACTCGCGAAGTGCCTACTCGCAAACTTTCAAAACACATATGATTGCGTCGATGTAATGTATCGTAAATCCCCCGCGGCGGATTCAGACCATTTTCGAGTAGTTACTTTGCGAGTAGTCGAACGTGCTCGTCTAAGGCCAGTCCAAGGCCAAGAATGATAACCCAATCCATGGTCTGGCCCAGGTTCTCTTCCACGACGTCCAGGACCGACCACTAATCCCTCCCTCCTCCCTCCTCCTCCCTGCTCGTCCCTCCTCCTCCCTCCTCCTTCCTCCTCCTTCCTCCTCCTCACTCCTCCTGACTGTCCGCCATTGCTCTAGCTCAGATGATGCGTCACTGGGGGGACTGGCTGCTGGATGCGAGCGTTGAGTGCCCGTTTGCATTGGCCCCCTTGCCGAAGCTGGCGGCCAGACCGCTCTGTGAGGTGAAATTGATCCCCGCCCAGTGCCACCCCGATGGATGGCAGGCATGCCGTGCTTAATGTGATGGAGGTGCCCCGTGTCCTCACAATCGGTGCCCTCGTGGGTCTGCGCTGGACAGGCGTCGAACCCGCGTCAGAGTCCGCGTTGATCCCGCGATGAGTTCCCACGTTTCTGTGTGGTCCGGACCCCGCCGGCGTCACCATGGCGGGTCTCAGGCCACTGACTTTTCTCCTCCCTCTGGCCCCCAGGGCGCTCCTGGCCCTCCTCCCCAGGACCTTTACAACGCCGTGGGTCCCCCTGGCCAGACACCCCTGCCCCCGCCCAACCTGGAAGGGAAATAGTAATAATAATCATCAGAGTAATAATCGTAATAGTAATAAAAATAATCATAATGGTAATGAACATCACAGTAACAATCGTAACAGTACACATCTGAAACACAATCGTAGTAATACGAACAATCATGGTAAGAAGAATTTGGCTGATTGTATTGTCAACACCCGTAATACCATGAATCATAATAATACGAGTCAGGATGCGAGTTCGAATGGCAATACTGGCAAAGCCAACAGTATCAATACGAATGGTACTAACAATATCAATGATCATTCTCAGGTACAAGTAACACTCGCACTAACTATAGTAATAAGCGTTTATTCGAATGGGCAACAACTAATAATAACATTGCTGATAGGAAGTAATGATAGTAATAAGAAGCTAATCGCCCACTTCATCTCTCACATACCGGAAACCCCGCCCCGGAGGCCCAGAGGCCTTAGCACACCAAGGGCACCCAGGGTACATTGAGGGCCCCCGTTGCTCCCGGAGCCTTCCTGGGGCGTCCCTGGAGCCTTCCCGGAGTCGTCCCGAAGCCCCAGGACCAACGGTAGAAGGTCTGGACGTCTTAGATGGCTTCCAGACTGCTCCAGGACGGCCCAAGATGGCTTCCAGATGTCCCAAGAGGCCCCAGGACGCCCTGAGACAGCTCCACGAGAAACCTCTCGAGGCCCTGAGCGGCTAAAATAGGCATATTCATTTGTTGTCCCACCAGCCTCCTAGGCGGCTCCGAGAGGCCTCCAAGAGCGCCCCAGGGCCTCCGAAGAGGCCCCCAAGGAACTCAGGATGGCCCCAAGACGGCCCAAGTGGCGCCCAAGACGTTCTCAAAGCGTTTTCAGAGGGCCCCAAGAGCCCCAAAACAGGCCCCCCAAGCGCCCCCACAAGCGGCCCTCCGATCGTCCTCGGCGCTAAAGTGGCCCCCGGAGCTTCCCAGCGGTCCCCAGAAGGTCCCCAGAGTCCGCCAAAAAGCTTCGAAGAAGCCCCCAAGAACGCCCCAGTAGACGCCGAAGTGGCTCGCACGAATCCCCCAGCGTCCCCCGTAGAGACTACAAGATACTTTTTGCACGCCTCAAATCGAAGGCACCTCCATTCCAGAAGGTATACAAGCACTCTACACCTCACTCCTCCTCATGCTCATTCTCCTCCTCCTCCTCTCCTTCCTCCTGCTCCTCCTTCTCCTCTTCCTCTTCTCTCTTCCTTACGCCACCCATCCCTCAACACCCTTTTCTCTCGCACTTTGCATCCTCTCTCTCTCTCTCTCTGTTTCATGCGTCCTCTCCTTCATGTCCATCTTGCCTCCGCCTTCTCCCTCATCCAACCCTATTATATACTCCTCGCGTGCAGCTTTCTCCGTCCCCTCCTTTCTCCCGCTCTTTCCTTCTGTTGCCAGCCCTCTATCTCGTACATTCGCCCACTTGCCCCCGCAATCCTCCTCCCCGCCTCGGAGTTTCCCCTTCATTCCTCATTCCTCCGCTCTGCCCCTCCCCACCCCTCTCCTTTTCACGTTGCACCCCTCTGTCCTCCCTCCACCCTCCTCCTCCTCCTCCTCCACCCTCCTCCTCCTCCTCCTCCTCCTCCACCCTCCTCCTCCTCCTCATCCTCCTCCTCCTCCTCCACCCTCCTCCTCCTCCACCCTCCTCCTCCACCCTCCTCCTCCTCCAGCTCTCTTGTACGTCCGCCTCCTGCCTCCACCGTCCCTCTTCCCCAACTCCCCCTTCCGCTTTTCGCTTCCGCCTCTTCCCGCCCCTCTCCTCTCTTCACTCGTCTTGACGCCTCCCTCCTCTGCCCTGCCTCCTGGCACCACCATCCTCCAGCCATCCGTATGCCGAAAGGCCGACCCTGGTGGCCCCAGGCCGCAGCACACTTGTTTGGTCGGCGGGTCGGGAGCGGGCCCCTTCCGGTCAAGAGCGAAACGGGACGCGGGTAGCCCTAACTAGGGAGACGGGGCGCGGGCGGGCGGGGCCTCAGGCGGCCGGAGGGCTCAGAAAACAGGCGGTGCCGAAGATCTTGCACAGGAAGAGGTGCGCCGGGCCGCAGCACACGCGGAGCACCCAGGATCCCCTGGGAGGCGCCTCCTCTCCGCGGGGTTGCCCCGGAGCCTCCCCCCCGAGCTGCCCCCAGGAGTCGCCCGGGAGGCCCCCGGGCTGCCCCGGGAGGCCTCCAGCAGCGCGGGGAGGCCCCCAGAAGCCGCCAGGGTGCCCACGCAGGACTCGCAAGAGGGCCAAGTCAGTCAACATCCAGGAAAGAAAACCCAACGTGCTTCGGTTTTTTCTGGCGGTTCCAGCTGTTGCGAACGTGTGGCTCCAAGATGGCCTCGGAGGCCCACACGGTCCCGAAGGGAGTTGCAGTATTGCCCAAGGGTGGCCCGGGACTGCCGCGAGCGCCAGGCCTCAATGCGACCTCAGATGCTAAGGCGTGCGCTTCCAAACTTCGGTCACGATCATTCGGGCACGGCCCTTGTGACGCGCTACACGCTTGGCCACATGACAAGTAGAAGTTGATCGCGCGCGATGAGCTCGCGATGGTTCTAGTGAGTAAGTCTACGAATATACTTACTGATCGCAAGAACACCAAGGAGCTGGAAACACACATGGTGGGATCCATTCGCATGTGGAATACCCAGAGGCCACGCGCTGGACACACATGCGAAAGCCTGGCATACCAGATCCGAAGAACGGCTGGGCGCTGGAAAGAAGCCTGGCCACAGATGTATCCAGCAAATCGCCCAGACCGGCCACGTCATGTGCATCCAGCTTCCTGGTAATATCAGGTGCCTGCGACAAGTCCTGCCACCGTGCCAGCTCAGCACAGAGCTAAGCCAGTCGGACGAGGGAAGCGGAGCAGGTGTCCACAAGATTTTTGACGAGGACGCGGGTTCTGCTCCTACGACCTCCTGGCGCGAGAGCCGTTCACGCGTCTAGCCTAAGGCCCGAGCTAGTCCGGCGGTGGGGCGGTTCCGATCCCGATCCGATTCCGCAACGATTCGGGCGCGATCAGGTCCGTTTCCGATCCCGACCCGGTTTCGCGATTCGATCCAGTTCAGGCCTGTTAGTGTTCGGCCTAGTGCACCGAGAAGCGTTGCCGCGGAGTCAGATCCGGTGAGCAGGCTCGCGTGAGGCGCATCACATTTTTGTGGTTGCCGTTTTCCGTGCCGTATCCCCCCCATGTGTGCCCTCTGTGTAAATCAAGGGGGGAGCCTTCGATGCGTCTTGCCACGCTGTGGCAAACTCACCCCTCCTTCCATCCAGCTGGACCGACTACGACCTTGGACGGGGTGTCGGAATGGTGACTCTCAGGGAGGAGCAGCGCTATGTGTGTGTGTGTGTGTGTGATCTGGTTCCTCCTCCTATTCCTCCTCCGCCTCCTCCTAGGAGGAGGAGGAGGCGGAGGAGGAGGAGGAGGACGAAAAAGAGGAAGACGAAGAAAACGAATCAGAAGACTAATAACGATACTAATAATGCTAACAATTAGAAGACGAACATGAGTACTAATACGAATGATAAGATTTATGCTAACCATAATAAGCTAATCAGAAGAACGCGAACACGACTAATGGCAATCCGAATAAGAAGACGAATGCGAATACGAATGATACAAGTAGTAAAACTACTAGTAAGACGAACAATACTACCAACCTTAATAATAATACTCATCATACTAAGCATAAGGAGAAGAGGAAGACGAGGATACTAACACTGTTCATTCTCATACTACAAACAATTACGATAACGACACTACTACCAAGGATACTAGCAATCCAGTATTACCATATGATCAACAAGCATGCGACTAGTACTATTTATAACACTAAGAATGCGAATACTCGTACTATCACCAACAACACTAGTAAGTCTACTACTACTAACACTAGCACTAACACCCATACGAACACTAATAATGATACTGCAGCTCATACTCATACTCATAATACTACTGCTTGCAAAACAAACACGCGTGACAGGAATCACACTCGTACTAATCAGAAGGCGACGAAGACACATAACATCAAGATGAGGAGGAGGAGGCGGACGAGGAGGAGCAGGAGGAGCAGGAGGAGGTGGGATGAGACAGAGCCCTGGAGTCGGTGAGGAGGAGGAGGAGGAGGAGGAGGGGGAGGAGGAGGAGGAGGAGGAGGATGGGGGGGGATGGAGGAAGAGGAGGAGGGGGAGGAGGAGGAGGAGGAGGAGGAGGAGGAGGAGGAGGATGGAGGGTGGGGGATGGCGGATGGCGGATGGAGGCTTGCTGGTGATGACTGGCGCCGAGTGAGGCGGCGCAGGCGGCACGGGGACGGCCGCCCCTGGCCGCCACTGCGGCCGCGCCCTGCGCCATGGCGGCCGCGCCCTGCGCGGACGAGGAGGCGCTGCTCCACGCCTGCCAGCGGGAGGCCTACCGGCCTGAGGACCACTGCCTCACCGCCGAGGCGACGCGCGGCACCTCCTCCCCCCTTCTGACCCCCAAGCGAGGAGGAGGGAAGATAAGGGACGAGGAGGAGGAGGAGGAGGAGAAGGAGGAGGAGGAGAAGAGATCAGGGAGGAGGAGAATACGGGAGGAGGAGGAGGATAAGGGAGGAGGAGGAGGAGGATCACGGAAGAGGAGGATAAGGGAGGAGGGAGGCGGAGGAGGATAAGGGAGGAGGAGGAGGATCACGGAAGAGGAGGATAAGGGAGGAGGAGGAGGATAAGGGAGGAGGAGGATCAGGGAGGGGGAGGAGGAAGAGGAAGAGGAGGTTCAGGGATGATGATGTTGCTGCTGCTTCTGCTGATGATGATGCTGCTGATGATGATGATGAGGATGATGCTGATCATGATGACATTGATTATGCTGATGATGATGCTGCTGATGATGCCGTTGCTGATGATGATTATGATGATGATGCTACTGATGATGCTGACGATGATGATGATGATGATGATGATGATGATGATGATGATGATGATGATAATGATGATGATGCTGATGATGCTGATGATGATAACAATGTGGAGGAGTAGGAGGAGAACAAGGGAGGAAGAGGATAATTGAAGAGGAGGAGGATGAGGAGGAGGTTGAGGGAGGAGGTTCAAGGAGGAGGTTCGGTTCAGGGAGGATAAGGGAGGAAACGGATGAGGAGGAGGAGGACGAGGATGAGGATGCGGATGATGATGTGGATGAGGATGAGGATGAAGATGAGGATGTTGCTGATAATGATGATGCTGATGATGCTGCTGCTGCTGATGATGATTGTGATGGTTATGAGGATGCTGCTGATGATGATGGTGATGATGCTGTTGATGCTGATGATGGTGATGGTGATGGCGATGCTGCTGATGATGATGATGGCGATGATGATGATGCTGATGCTGATGATGATGATGATGATGATGATGATGATGATGATGATGATGATGATGATGATGATGATGATGGCGATGATGCTGCTGCTGCTGATGATGATGATGATGCGGATTGGTGATGGTGATGACGATGTTGTTGATGCTGATGCTGATGATGCTGATGATGATGCTGATGATGCTGCTGCTGATGCTGATGCTGAGAACGATGATGATGCTGCTGATGATGGGAATGCTGATGATGATGCTGATGTTGATGATGCTGATGATGATGATGATGATGGTGGTGATACTGTTGCTGATGATGCTGCTGATGATATGGTGATGATGTCGATGCTGATGATGCTGATGATGATGATGATGCTGATGATGATTATCATGATGAGGATGATGATGAGGATGGTATGGATGATGATGATGCTGCTGATGATGATGATGATGATGATGATGATGATGATGATGATGATGATGATGATGATGATGATGATGATGATGATGATGATGATGATGATGATGATGATGATGATGATGATGATGATGATGATGATGATGATGATGATGACGATGATGATGATGATGATGATGATGACGACGATGATGATGATGACAT